TTGATTCGATGACTTTCAGCTATGTCTACTTAGCTACCTATAAATAGTATAAATGTAGGTATAGTGTATACAGTATTACAGCGGCATAATTAGGAAGGAAGGTAGCAAGATTGGAATTTTCCTTAGTGTAATTTTAAAATTAGGTTGATGATTAGAATGCCTAACTCGCAAATTTAATTGTACCTTTTTAGATTTTATGATTTATAGTTCATTTTTTTTTCATGGATTAATTGAATATACTACATAAAGCATTGTACATATAATAATACTAATAAATAATAATTGATAAATATAGATGTTATCATTATTATTCATTACTAAATTAGTGCTATATTATTGTATTATTATTAATTATGAATATAGATATATGTAAATATGTAATATATTTATATATTTACTAATTTCATATGAATCGTTCATTACTACAATTTTTACTTGTACCTATATATAGGTCAATACCCACAAATCACAATTTATTAAAATTTATTTAAGTAGGACAAAATTTGATTGTTTTTAACGTTTTAATTGATAGACTTTTTAGTGGGTGGAGACTAAAGACTATAATATAGAGATTCTTTAAAACTTCATTTTTTTTATTCGTGATGACAATAAAACAATTAATTTAAACCATTTAAAGATTGAAAATTAAACACACTTATGAATTATGATAAATTCTAAACGTGACGATCAAAATATAAATTTTAGTAGTTTTTTTTACACACTCGAATCTATGTCAATAGTTATTACCATATTTACCAGTTTAAATTTTAAAAATATACATCACATTTCTTACAATCCATACTAAGTTTTCCATTTCCGGAAATAATGTGCAAACCGTAGCTCTTCTATTCCCCATGAAGACGGCTCAAATGATAAATTATAAACCAACAGGTCTGCCGTGTCTTACACAAGTATACAAATGTATAACCTGTATATCTATAATAAATTAATCGTTGCAGGTTTTCGGCGTCCGGTGTGATGTTGATCTGGCGCGGTTGTTCGGTCGCTGAAAACTGTCGCGTCCATAATGATAATCATTTACGTTCCGTTATATTATTATTATTATTATTATAAGAAATTAGGGACAAATGACGACAACGGAGTGACCACCTATACCTATATACCTACCTAAATACCTAATACATGCATGACGCCCGGACGCGGTTGTCGTTTTTATCAAAAAAACGGGTTTATGTACTATAGATTCCATAATATAATAATTAATAATAATAATTTTAAGTATATAATAACGGATGTAGGCAATACTCTCAAGTTTATTATTTACGCCCAGCTATATAAATACATACTGCAACTGGTGTCCAGTTATTAATGTGTTTGTATTACGTATAGGTTGGTGCCGCCACTGTAGCATATTATACATAAAAATATTGTTATTTTATACGTCGTCGTTTCGATGAAGAGCCATCTGATCCGTGTACGAGACAATGTCACAACAGTAGCAGCGCATAGGTTTATAATATAATGTAATAATTATGTAGGTATATAGGTAAGTTGCACTAACCTTGATAACGGCAGGATGGTTTACCTATAGTTCGAAATCGTTAAACGAATTTGCATAAAATCCTGGTACATAAAAGTGATTAAGTAAATAATATATGAACGCGTCTTGTATATATTATATCATCATAGCAATTATGTATGAGACTGCGGTTTCGACAGAAATTACTACGGAAAACTCTATACGAGCGTTAAGGTTAACTGCTGCAGGAGGACTCATTAGCTACAAGAAAGACAGGACTAAGCGATGTGTAAAAGTTTATGTGCAGTTTCTTGAAATTGGGCTCACTCGTATTTTATACGCACGACGAGTAATTCAGATAATAATTTGTACGACTATAAAAAAAAAACCTTTTATTTACTAGCGTGTAAATTCTTATAACATTAATGTCAGAAAACCTAATCCCAAATGAAATTCACAAATATAATATAACAAGGAAAACATATAATAATCATACTTAAAAACAAAAAACATGTTCTTAATACGCGTTTCATCGTATACCTACCTATTTTATTCTTATGTACCTAAACATAATAATATAATGTAGGTAAATTAATAATTGAAATCACGATAATTTTCAATTGTCAAGATAAACGGTCAAATATAAATGGGTAATAATATTCCGTTTCTTGACCGAAATTATTTTGAAATCTAATAAATAAATAACATTATTTGGTTTATCGTCGTGGACGGTTCGCGGGATTATATTCATAATCACTATTAACATGATATAAGATGTACAATTAATCAACTTTTTAGTACATTAAATACTCGAGAATTTTTTTTAATTTAAAATCATCGTCATACTAACATAATTTTAGTCAATTAAGGATTATAAGTTATAAGGCAGGTAAGTAGCAATATATATATTTACATTATTATTATAATTATATATTATATTGTTATTATTATATTTTATGTAGTTTAACAGAATTTTTAACATAATTACAAAATACAAAAATTACATTTTGTGGATGCATTTATTTCTTATTAGTAGGTTAGGTTAAGTAAGATTTCTTTTTCTACTCAAATTGTTTTTGAATTCTATTATTGATACTGATACTTGGTGCGGCCGTATAGCTGTTACTTATCATATTCAGTTAAAATACAAAGTATTCGTATCATAAATGTGTGAGGATTTTATATAGGAGCACTGAGCACAACCAGTCTTAACGACTCGCAAATTGATAATAAATAATAACTATAGTATAAGAACGGGGTGAGCAAGTTGAACCTCGTCTGGAAAATCGTGACTATATAGGATCTAATTACCGGTCCTAAGGTATCTACATTTTCAGCTTTTTTTCCCGGAGGTTAACCTATGTTATTTTGAAAAAAAATGTTAGTGTTGTTTGATGTAGGTATAATTAAATTCTAAAATGTATATGTATGTATGTTTTATGTATTTAATTGACCTCCTTAGTATTACAAATTTTTCCAATTAAGTATCTCATTTTTTTAATCAAAAGTGTTGATTATCCAATATACATAGGTACAATTGAAATATATTTGAACAACGATTCTGAGCAGATCAGAGTTGGGTGATTTTTTACCCTTTTTTTCTAGCGTTATTTTATAATACCACAATATGGACAATGTTTTTTTAAATGCACATCCAAATTAAAACGCCATAATAAGAGGTGTTGGTTTAAAAAAAAACCAAGTAGGTACCTATTGTGTAATTATTGTAAATTATGTAGCGAATAGATCGTCGGTCCGTATAAATGAAGGTATAAATACTTAATATTATAAAATCTATTGAAATTTAATTTTAAAATCTATTAGATAATAAGCAATAATACATTTGCAAGGAAAAATGTTAAAAAAAATGTTATTTTTTAAATTATTATGCCATCGATATTAATAAATAAACAAATAGAAATCATAATATAAGTATTCTATAGGTTTACTATACTACAATTATTTAAGTACTCTCGATAATTCGAAGTTGGTGGGACTTATAAAAACTTTGAATTGCTAATAAGATGTTCAAAATATTAATACATTATCAAAATAAATAAAAAATTAGTTACTAAGAGTTTTTAAACATGTAAATATTACCAATAGAATATTGTAGTAAATAATAATCCAATACTAAATTATATGAATGTATGATAGTATGATCCACTATACGGAATATATCAATCTTTGTTAAAAAATCTGGAAGTTTTAAAAACAAAGTTTATAATAGTTAATTTAACAACAAGAACACTTTGACTACTCAATCACGGAAATAACTTTAAATTTTCATGGTTTGAGTTGATTGAAAGAACTTTCTACATTTTACCTCGAATTACTAAATGTATACCTAATTTTTTTTGCTTTAAATTGCTGAAAAATTTCTATAGTACCGAGCTTTTACTTCGAATTACCTAAAAGAGTATCGAATTATCGAAGGTTTGAATTAATAAAAATTGAATATGGGTATACAAAATAATTAATGTATTTTACATTAATGTATATAATAATGATGAAATGAATAAGTAAAATGGTACCACGAAATTATCCACATAATATTTTATATTATGACATACGGATATGATACGTATAGGAACTGTTTTATCAGTTAATAATAGCTAGGTAATGACATAATATGAATTTTACATCATATTTTAATAGTACTTATAAAATTCTAAAGAATTTAATAGTATATAAGTATATTAGTATGCAATAATGTAGGTATGTGATTTATACCTACATGGCCACATAGGTGTTTGGAAAAAAATTAGTTCAGCCTACGATGTTACGAATGTTACGATTGTTAATAATAGAAAAATAAACTATAACCAATAGCATAATATAATCTAATAACAGTGTATTAAATATGAAATATGTGATAAAACATCGTTAGACATTTAGGTTTAGTCTCAGAATAATTTTTCATATAATTTTCAGTCAAAAAGTAATTCAATGAGGATGTACTCTCAACACTACCTATACTATGGATAAGGTAATATAGTCAATATAATAACATACTAAATGTCTTATATGTGGTATTATATAGCAGAGTCCCCGATTTGTTTTCGTTTTATTTATTGTACTTGTACAACATTACGTGAGTATATTTCGTGAAAGGTAAAACTTAACAAAGATAAATAAGTTAACTTTTACTTTTATTAAAACTTTTATTAGGTATACGTCCAATTACTTATTCAACTGCTAAGAATAATATACTACGATACTTAGGCAATGAGCGAAAGCTATATGATATTGTAAAATGTTACTAGAGCCGAGTGCATTTTAATAATTTTAAGACATCTCCGTAGTTGTGTGCACATAATAATATAATATTGTAATGATTCTATATTATTGTCATTGTAATCAATGTTTTTTTTTCAAACAATATGTGAAAAATACGTGCTAATTCTGTATCTTTGACGAGTAATTTTTTATTTTATTGACCTGGGAACATCGTACACCTATGCACCTACAACCTACCACAAGAACATGACAATAATATAATATTAGGTAACCGACGTACCCGCGTTGGCGTTCTTCTGCGGCACCGCGGCGTAGGACACGCAGGCGCCTGTCTCGTACGTGACGGCGGCGCACTGGTCATCCGACTTGCAAGCGTCTATGCACTGCGGCAAGGTGAACAGGGCCAACTGCTCGCGCATCGCATGTTTGGCCGCCGGACTGGCCGCGTACCCGGTGAGCAGTTCGAAGTTGACGTCGCCGCCGCCGTCGCACTTGAGTGACGCGGTCTCGCGGGTGCAACCGGCCAACATCGCAGCGACCAGCGACAGCGTCACCGACAGAGGGACGATTCGCCGAGGGTGCGGGTGCATGACGATAACAGCGGTGGCAGCGGCCAGCAGCAACTCAACCCGAGCGTTGATGGGTGTCGAGACGCGACAAAAACGGACTCGCCACGAAATGATCACACTCCGTCGGCGGAATCGTCGCAATACGTATAAATGTTATTATTATAAATTTCCAAACAATATTGTGTTGTGCACACCGTTTTCGCACGCGAAATTCAAACTATTTAAGACGCAAATAGTAGTTGTGTCTTTAATATTTTGAACTTCGATGCGATGCGACGGGTAAAACTCGCTGAGCGGTGTGCGCGCGGGGTGTAGAGGTCGCGACGTCGGTGCCGCGGAGAGCCGAATAAGACTGACGCGTCGGAAGAGTCAAGAGTGCGGCCGACTACGGTCCGCGGGCACGTGGTCGCGGCGCGGCGGCCGTGGTTCCCGCGAGTCGAGAGCGGGAGAGAAGAACCGCTGGCTGGCGAGCCGCCTTCGCCGCCACCGCCGCCGCCGCCTTTTCTATGCGACGATTATTATTATTATCATTATTCGTGCTTAGCGTTTAATATTAGGTATATATATTTATTTGTTATTATCATTATTTATTACTATGACCGCTGCCGGCCGCCCGCTCGGATCGGCCGAAATAATAGACGCGTATTAGCTTCGCACAAACAAATAGGTAATATAATAATAATTTAACAACTGCGTCAACACCTCGCCGCTGGACCGCGAGAAAAGCGAGCGAATGACCTAATAGAACCCCGTTGCTGTGAATCGAAAATAATAGGAAACAAATTATATCATTTCGATTATTATCGCATTAACCATCATCTGTAAATATAAATGATGTATACTTATGTATGCCTGTATATATAAATAAAATATATTTACGTACAAATGTAGTACGTTTATATATAGGTAAACGGTGTTGTTCAAATGAGGGAGGGGGGAGTTTGAGATAAATCCCCCCCTCGAGGACAAAAAAAAATCCCGTTTTGAAATGGTTAGAATGAAGAATATACGCGTCATGAAAAATTGTAACCTGCGCATAAATAGTATTAGGGAATAGTATTTGGGAAATATAATAAAATCACAAGAACATTGATTTTTCGCCTGAGGAGGTATAAAAATAGACATTTATTATTGACATAAAAAACTGTTTCAGTGTAGGTATAAATATTGTTCATCAATATTAGTAAATTGTCTTTGTGTTGTGACCTGTGGCCCGCGGATGTGTTTGTGTGTGTGTGTGTGTGTGTTATTGTACCAGCATATCGGAGTAATCGAAATATTATTTTAATTTATAATTTGATTCCTTCTCTCTTGTTCATTATATATATTAATATTATTTTCTAAAATCAAAATACTTATGAGTAAAACTGTAAAACTGTAAAAATGTTTCAGTATTTGAATATTGATATTGCTATTCAAATACATATTTTTCCTAATTTAAATAGTATTTCATGACTCATAACATATAAGTATATGACTAAATGAGTAAGTTTCGTGGTTATTAGCTACTTAGGTATTACACTTAAACAGATTGTACTTCAAATATTTTAGAATCTATGCATAGTTTATGAAATGCTGATGTACATTTAATTTAAAAATTCATTTTGTCTTTTGTTAATACGTACATAATTATTGCAGTATTCATTAAAAATATATATTTTTTTTTTATTTAAATAGAAAAATTTACAATCTGTAACATACTCGTAGGAACAATAAGCAAATTGGATAATGGAATAATATTAACATCACATGAATAGTATGAGGGATTCGATTAAAATGTTTATTAATGACACTTAAGTAAAAGCAATAATTTTTTTAATACTTACCCCTACTTTTATTAAAATATTTATTAAATCATTGTGATTATTAAAATCATTTAAAACGAACTGGTACCAATTATAATTATTATATAACTTAGGTATAAGTTTTAGCATAATATGTTTCCTTTCTAATTTTATAATTCCAATATAATTATAGTTTCAAATTTCGATTGAAAAATTTCGATTTTATTTTTTTATTTAAAAATCCATTTACATATCCAAAATGTAATATTTTTCAGTATTAAGATAACTTTTTATTAAAAGCAATAAAAACTAATAAACTAATTACTATTAAATAGTTATAAAAAGTATTATATTTTGTTCTTGCATAAATTATCGTTAAATACTAACACTATGATTTGTTAAAATTATTATTTTTAATACTTCGAGTTAGTATATAGTGATCATGACCGAAAAAAAGAAAATTCATTCTTTTTCAAAAGCTCTTTCGGATACATCATACTTCATTACCATATGTCCATATCTAATATCTAAATACTCCGATAAACATATATATATATTAAACTGAATCCCTCAACCCCCCCCCCCCATAATAAAATTGAATGTAGCCACTAGGTAAAGTAGGTATGTGCCAAAAATATTTTAATATGTATACATTATACCTACAACGGACGATAACTCGTATATTATGGCTTCTTATTTACAGACTATTACAATCGTCTCTCCTCCGTCTTTTCGTTCGAAATTGATAGCCGAAACGTTATGTTTTAGATATATTACGTGTTCCTATTTAAAATATCGGAAAATATACAACACCACGAAGCTGCCGCTACCACAGTTCGAAGTTCTAATAATACCGTCATTTATCGCCATGAATATTCAGACCCCGCAATCGGCCGGCTTCCAGTGAACATTAACGCCCGTGTATTATAGCCAAACGTTTGAAATTTGAATACAATATTATAATACTATTCACTATAATTGTATATTTGTATTTATTTATTTATTTATTTATTTATAGATCAACTGAGCTAGCTCTTACATATTATAGAATGTGGTATGCATGACAGTTAAATATAAAGTAACACTAGGTATAGTAGAAACATAGTACCTAGGTATACACAACACTAAATATTATTGATATTTCAGATTAAGTTATGATTAATATTCATAAATTATTCGAAAAATATCGTTATTTCGAGAATTATAAATTATAATACATTAGTACATTACAATATGTGACCCAAAAATATGTTTGTCCTATTTTTCTTGTGACCTTTCCAATATACAAAGTGATTTACCAAGCATGGTCCTCTCATTTTTTCCTTTAATAATGCATTTTTAAATATAAACTCAGACAATTTTTTTTGTACTCCAGAATTTTTTTTTTGTAATACTTAAGAAGTGTTCTGTGACTATACAGCCTTTTTTTCAAATGAGAACCTTCTTTTTTACTGTAAATTATTAAATGGATACTATTTTGAACATTTTAATTAACCTAATTTAAAATTCGAATTAGACCTTTCTCAGTTATTACTTATTAAAGTGTTAGTATTAAGGATAATAGTACTTAAAAATGGTTTTACAAAATATGAAATAATCAAATAAAGGTAATATTGGAATTAGTATTTATAATCCTTGTGTCATTTTTACAAATTATTAATGAATGAAGAAATTGAATTAGAAGACTATTCAAGAATTTGAAAATATGGTGTTTAAGTATATTTAAAAATTCTAAAAATCGGGTTTTAAACAACTGCTTTATTGAAGAAAAAGGGGATGAGTAATTAGTATGCTTGGTGAATCATTCAATCACCCTGTATCATGTTAAGCTTCCACGTTTTACTAGGACAACTTGCCCCTAAAAGGGGGCAAACACCCCCTTCTTCTACTATTAAATTTCTAAATACGTAAATTTATTAAAATATATTTATTGATCTATAAACTCCAAGTAATGAATTTTGTTAACATTAATTTGTATTTCATTAAACATTTCTAGAAGAAAAACTAATTGCTCAATTAACTGACTCTATTTTACAATTATTTTCCCAGCTTGATGACAACAATAATAATTATATTGACGAATACGTATTATTTTCCCGTTTCGTCACTACGATTTTTACATCACATATAGTTCATTTAGTTAACCTTAGTTGATTGGTAATTTTGTCGGCTACTCATTCTGATTGTCGATTTGTAACATCGAGTTAGTTGTTATACCTTTAAGCTAACCTATGTTGTAGAGTATTTACAGCTGACCTATAATCGAGTACCTATACTGATGTTTGGTACTCCAGTTACGATAAACTAGGATGTTAAAACCATGGTAGTTGGTCATCCAGAAGTCGTAAGAATTTTTGTATTATTAAAAAATATGAAACAATCTGAACATTTATTATTATTTAGTGCATTATGTAATTTGTCTATAATAGGTATATATGAATATACATACCAATAAAGTATATTTTAGAGAATACAAATTATATGAGAAATATTTGCCATAGGTACTCGCATTGTTCCACATCATAATTATTTTTTCGATTAAAAAAATAAACACTGATGGAAACTCATAAGACTAAACGAGCATGGGCACACATTCAGTCTTAAACTTGGGAGTGCTAACATGTCTTACCCTAAAGTGACCCGTTGGGAGGCTTCGTCCCCTCTCCCCCTTACGCCTATACAGTTATACACACCAGGCATAAATTATTTTCATTTCAAATAAAATTATTAATTACTACCTTAAAAAAAACGAAGTATTGAACCTGATTTTCAATATAGAATCTTTTTTTTACCGATATATTATAACCAATTAATACAACAACTATTATATTCTTCTATGAACAAGGGATACAATCAGCGTCATCCAGATTTTCATTACTTTCATCATTTTTTTTTTAAAAAATTTTTTATTCAGTTTAAATGTATTAAGCATATTTAAACAGGAAATATATATCGTTGGCATTAGTGCCTTATAAATACAAACTGGACTGCACTCATTCTTACAAACTCAAAATTGCACTTAAAACAATATTTTTAATTTAAAAAAAATGTAATTAAGGACTTGGGGGAACTAAGCATCCACTGGCGCCTCCGTATGTGCGGCAATGTAAACGAGTGCTTCAAAAATACTTTTTTAGACAACAGTTAATATAGCAACATATTTGTCTCATAACAAACTAAATTATTTTTATGTAATGAAATATTATGAATACCTACACTAGGTACAGTAGGTACACGTATTATAATAAAGTTTCGTTCTTATTATAGGTACTATTATTCATTAAATCTGTGCTGTTACTTTCTATATAACAACGTATCATTATTAGATTAAGGTAGCCGGTGGGTATACATATTATTATGTTCTCTATATAAATAATATTATCGTGCACGTCATTATTATAACCTAAGGTAATGTATTTTGTAAATCAAACTGCAATTTGTATATCTGTGTGGGTCATATACGAGTTGGTATACTATTCTCAAATAAATAATAATAAACGACCAGAAGCAATGGCACATCCCAGACCGCAGTACCAATATAGTATAATACCTATCCACCTATATTATCCATTGACGGGTGGCTGGACTGTAGTGTTATTTTGTATTCTGTTTTTTGTCGGCATCTCGTGTGCATCGTACCTATATAAGCCATGACACAACACGCACGCAATGCAAATATTCATGAACAAAGTACTAAGTAGGCCAGTTTATAAGGTATATATTATATACTTATTGTACATCTACCCAAAAGTTGAAGAGTGTTTGATACTAATGGAAAAATAATATAGGACAAACTAGTTATATAAGAATAAAGAACGAAAAAATGATTTATCACTAAGATAAATATAGAAAAATAAAGATATAATAAATGAGTCATTAGCCAACCTTTAAAAATATTGTTATCATAAAAAATCAATAATATAATTATATAATTATTTATTAATGCGTGTCTTACTTATAGTATAGTCAAGTAGATATAATATAATTAATTTATAATTACAAAATTTCATTTTTTTGTATTCAAAGCAATATTATATAAATGCATTATAAAGAGTTCGCTATACTTTTCATTATAGATTTATGATTTTGTTTCTGAAGAACGATAATTATGAAATCTTTACCTGAAAAAAAAGGATTTTAACACATCATTTAATTTATCTAATTCGCAATAAATTTATTTTATTTTATTATAGGTACCTACCTACCTACTATAGGTATATGACATCTTAAATATTAATTAATGATCAAAATATCCAAATTGGTATTATAATTATTAAGGTTAGGTTAGTAATGGACAATAGTTAGTAATTATAGTTATAACTATAGGTATTTTTTCGGTTATCCATATTCCATATGAACTTGTAGAAATGCAGAAGACAGTATTGACGTATTGTATAATATATTTATAGATGCATTACAATGTAGGAATATTATGTAGATAATGTGGTCACATTATACGTTTACGTACACAGTCGGTATTAAAATATTATTTCACTTAAAAAAAAGCAACAATACGAGTTATGATCAAATAACATATGTTACCTATTTAAAAAATATAAATAATGCTATAAAGTGATAATTTGTGATATAGATAATACTAAAATAATCTGCAGGTACCCATCTACAATAATATGTTAAATATAGTTTGTTACTTTGGGGAGGGCTTTCGAATAATGCTCTACAACTATAACTGCTCCATAAAACTTCAACTAGTACCTATATATGTATAGTATATGTCTTCAATTAACAGATTACGAATGATTCAAGAGTTATACTTTTGAATACTTGATGTATTACCAGTGAATCATGTTTAAAAAAGAATTTTGATGTTGTGTGTGATACGAAATTTAAATCAATGGATCGATAAAAACAAAATAAATAGTAAAAGTCCCTAAAGCATTTGATGCCAAAACTCTATTCTTTCAAAAATTTTTTAGATAAAAGTTTGTAAATTGCTTTGGACCTAATCTCTATATTTCGATGAATATTTCTATAGAAAAGTTTTTTTTGCAAAATTATAATGCTAAAAAAACACTTGTTAACTGGCTAATACAATTAATCTGATTTTTAGTTTTAAGTACATTTTATGTAATGTAATGTATTTGATGTAAAATGGCACTAATTTTTGTTTTAGTTTTCATATCCTTATAATTCTGTTTCTGTAACTCTACATCTTCGTCACAAGCTTGTGCTTTAAGAATATAGATATTTTAAATGTATAATGTAATGTAAGTACCTATTTTTATTGAAAGGTTAAAATGTTTTATGAGAAAAATAAATATAATAATATAATATTATAACGGATAGAAACAATAGCGGTTTAGTTTAAATATGATATAAGTAGGTAAGTAGGTACGCATATACGAGTACATACTTTTAAAATATACTCAAAATATTATTTGGCCAGAAAAATATTTCAAAATTAAATTTACCAGGTGCCACTAGTACCTCTCGTCTTTTAGAGCCCATTCGTAAAACCATTAACTCGTTAGACGGATCCAAATTTCTAACAAAACCTTTTGCGTTGTCGGCCAACTTCATTATCATTTCAGCGTGGCTAACAGATGATCTGTTGTCTAATGTTGATGTTATGAGATCACCTATAAAAATGATTATCCGTATCAAAATATATATGATAAATGATAATAAATACAGAGTACGAGTTAAGAACGAATGATTTAGTGTCACGAGCACTACCTAACTCGCTAACTAGTCCTAAGACATGAGTTAGTACTGTACTACTGTTAGTAGTTATAAGTCCGTGATCACAACGATTTGGTTCTACTTGTCTACCTACCTATAACAACTATAATAAGACACAGTTCAAATACACACCATTATTGTTTACCACAATAACACCAACAACGCCATTTTGAGATTGGATGCGTTTCAATGTTTCTTCAAATTCATTTTGAACATTATTCATTTTGTATCTAAAATTCTATAATTATTATTGTAACTTTAAAAAGAGTTGATAAGCAATTTAATAAATATTTATGACATACAAAAATTACTAATTGAATTGAATGGTAGAAAATTAAACTAGTCGTTTCTATGATTATTGAATATTATATTGTACCAACAATAAGCAACATATTATGCATTATTATTTTTAGTGGAATTTTTAAGGAGTTATGTATAGGCAATTATTTTGATACTGGACTTGACACTTGTGCTTGTATAGTTGTATAAGAAGTGAAATATCATTAGAATTTATTAGTATTATATCAAATTAAAATACATACCACATAAATACAATACATATTTAGCACTAGGATTTGAAGTCTGAAATAATTCACAAGAAACAAAAACGAGAAACATTGCATTTTTTTACTACAATACTTTTTTTCAATTTAATTTAAAGTAGCCTAAATTCATTTTTTATCGAAAAATTGCATATGAAAATATCATAATGTGTATAAAATATAATAATGTAACTCTAAAGTCTTCAAGTACCCACAAATAATAATTTTAAATTACAACAAAATAACTAAAATCGATATTCTTGGTTTAAATAATGAATTCTAATTTAGAACTTGAAACAACTATAAAAAAAAATGTTGTTTATGTATATTTTTAGATTTTTTGGTTACAAAATAAGCTACTTACGTGGAATATTGTCTTAAATTTTCAATCCTAAGTTTAAATAATTGAACATTTTATTAATTTTTAACTAAAAAATAATTTGTACATTTTCAATTTGATAAATTTTTGTCAAAATTGAAACTTACAATGATTATAAACAAAAATCTTATACATATATTTTTAATATTTTTAAACTGATATTGTAACAATGTGTGGGAGCCTTGTATTACATTTTCAAGCTTTTTGACTCATAGAGTACAATTTAACTGACATTTATTGAATACAAAAATTTAAAAAAGCGGGTAAGGTGATAATGCTCTGCTGTCTATTAGGAGTCTAGAGACTAAAAAGTCACTTAAATGGATGTGTTAAATTTTAATTCAATAATCATTGTATACGACAAACAATTCTGAGCAAAGACTATCTGTCACCCTATAATATTACTAAGTAATTTATTTATATATTTGTATGATATCAATGTGTGTACTATTTACAATATAATAAGGTGCTCATGTACCCACAAATATTATTTTTAAATCCCAACAAATTAACTAAATTCGTTATTCTTGGTTTTTTATGTAATTTCGTCCAAATTTGAACTTAAAATGTCTATAAATAGTAGTTGTGTTGGTAAATATTTTTGATTTTTTGGTTACAGTATAAACTATGTTCGAGAATGGGAATCTTTGTTTTAAATTTGAAATTCTTAGCTATAAAAATTGAATATTATGTAATAAATGAATAAAATATAAAATAAAAAAATATATGATGATAATAATCATAAATAATGACAAACATTTTTTTTTTACTCGAATGACATGATAAAAATTATTTTGCTAAATGTATTCTATTGAAATTATAATAATAAAATTATGGTGGATTAGTGTATTGTGTGAGTGTATTAAATGTATGTAAGAATTTTTGTATAAACTAAAATGTTCAAAATTTAATGATGTACTCATAGAAAATGCTAAAATAAGCATTCAGTAAAAATTTTTTGTTTATTTTTTGTTCTATTGTAATAATTTTTTTTAGAGCGACACCAAAAACCAAAATTCATTTTAACGAAAGAAGATTTTGGGTAGAAAGTTGTAAATTACATTTACTTTCCCATCAGAAAAAATACTGAGGAGGAAAATCAAATCATTAATTCAACAACTTAGTAAACACACACACACAAAAATACAATATGTGAAATCAATACATTCATCGATCAGAATCTAAGAAATGCTATTGATACCGAAGCTGAAAAAATAGATATTCAAAAACGTCTCTATAACAATTCAAAACCTGGAAGACTTAAATAGTCAATCAAATTCCGTATACAAAGTGAAAATTCCTCAAACCAAAATCCTTGTTCATCAGACTAATTGGTAAATACCGGCAGTATTTTTCAATTAAGAACAATTGATCATAATTATTAATATTGACATGTTATATTGACCCGGAAGTTTTTTCACGGCAAGAGTTAATGTTAATGAATACATTTCACTTGAATATTTTAAAAACATTTATGTAGTTTAGATAGTTTTTTCAATAAAAATAAACAAAATATGATGTACCGTGTTTTTTTTTATTGTTAATTTACCTAATATTAAAAAGAAATAAATATCAAAAATAACACTAAAATATAAAAACTATTTTTGATCATTCTGTATTCATAAGCCATTTCTGTGAAATGTAAATAATTGGTGTAATAACTAATAAGTTGGTATGCCGTATTTTCATGATAAGTTATACCTACTTTATTTGCCAATTTGAACGGATTGAAGTTTCATTCATATTTTTCATGATAAGTGATGATTTTATTCATCAAAAGGATTAAAACCTTGTTTATATAGGAATATCGACAGTTAATAATTATGAGTTTTTGAAAAAAAAATGACAAAATTCATTAGTTTACAGGTAAAAATCCAATATTATATAATTTTTTATTTCAAACGCTCATAAAAAATTAATGATCCCAGATTTTTTTTTTGTCAAAGGTAGAAAATCTTGTATGGAATCTTCTATTAAAATTTTTAATGTAAGCTATGAAAGCTTAACAGCTAGGCTAAACTATGAATATAATATCTGCACTACCACTTCATAGAATATATTTTAAATACATAAAATAAAGGTATGAATAACATGATACGCAAAATACAAATATTCAAGAACATTTTTAATAATACAAAACATGAAAATAGAATCATCATCATATAGTGTTCTTGCGTCCAATTGTCATGTGTAAGAGCACGCAACAAACCAATGTTGTGCTGTCAGAGTGAGGCCTACTTACTATCAAACTTAAAAGCAAGAATATTATCTGTTATCTGTGTTTTATGTCGGTTGTTTAGGAAATTTAAATTTTTAAATAAGATTTTTAAATTGCAATACTTACTAAACTCATAACGCCATGCTTAAATATTGAAATATCGAAAAAAACCGACATGCTGACATATATAATGTTCAACCAAGAAGAAGAAAAATGAACATTAATATAAATAAATAAATAGTTGTAGAAGAAAAAAAAATTAAAAGCTTGTAAGCATTATATAAAATTATAAAAATCAATACTTAATATGTACAATATTATTTGTAATTAACTAATAATTATTTACAAATATCTTTTTTTTGGATGTTATTTAGAATTAAATTTAAGTGCATTTTATGATTTGCTATATTATTTAAAAATTGTTCTCTTATGACTGTGCTTCTGTTGGATTTTGAATAACAATCATTATAAAATCTTTATCTGAAAAAAAAACATATTAATATCAATTCCGCTTTTAATATAATTATAAATCTAAAACACTATTAAATTGTATTTAATGCTTTAAAATATGTTATTAGTTAACATCCATACTAAATTACTAATTGAATATGTATTATGCAATGTTAGATAAATACTTAATTTCTAATTTGAAACGATAGTGCGTCATAGCTCAATAAATACTTATCTAAGTACTATAAGTCTTGTCATATAACATTTTATAAATATTCAACAACAAAATAACTTTTCAACATTTGAACTTCAAATGATTATAAATAAATATGCTTAGTTATGTATTTTTAATAATTTTCAACTGATATTGTATCAGGGCCTCGTATTAAATTTTCAATCGGTTTGGCCCAAAAAATATAAAAATATAATTTAATTGAAATTTATAGAAAAAATTTAAAATTTAAAATGTCTGTAAACAGCTCAAAAAGAGTCAAAATATTTTGAAAATTGCAACAAGTTTACTAATTAATAAGATAAACATGTGGTGTAAATCTTAACAATCTACATTTTATCGTTTTTGAATTACAAGAAAATATGAAAATCGATATATGAGAAATCAAGCGAATATCCAATGTTGTACTAATTCCAATTTCAAATTCTCATCAAAATTTAATTTGACTTTACGGAAGAAGTTTTTTTTTTGATAAAGGTATACAAACTTATAAGCAATCTACATTAAATTTTTAAATTTTAGATATAAAAAGACATTTTTTATGAATTTCTAACACATAAACGTTTGTGATTTTGTAAAAATTCTAAATTCAAACACTCACAAAAAGATATAGTAAATTTAAGCTCAACTTTTTTTTTATTGATTTTCACTAACAACAAGTTACGATGAATATTGTATTACATTTTCAAGTTTTTTGACAAACAGAAAAATTTTTTTTCGACACTAGTATAAAAAAAACAATAATCGAACATTTTAAGTATGATTTGTTTAACACGAGGCAAAATATTTTCAAAATTTCATGGTGTACAGAAAATGGGTATACAAACATTCAGTGAAAATTTCATGTAACTCCGATAATTGTTTTTAGTTACATCATAAGCCAAAATCGATTCTGCGCAAATCAGTTTTCAGTAAAAATTCCTTCCTTCACTTAATTTTTTGGTTTTTTTCCTGCAGCTTTTGGAAAACTTGGACATTTTTTCTTTTTGCCCCCCCCTCCCAAATAGATTCACTTTCCTAACAGAAAAGATGCTGTTGAAGAAAATTAAAGCACTTTTACTGTCCCAGGAAAAAAAAATTTAAAAAAACAAACCATTGTAAAATCAATACACTCATTGCTATGCTCAGAATCTAAAATATTAAAGATACATAGGTAGTTACAGATTCTTTTTTTGAGTATTTAATGTTAAAATCTAAAGAATTTGCAAATTATTTTGTAGATATCTAGTTTAACACATATGAAATGTTAAATTTTAATAACTAAGAACTGTAAATTTAAAATGAGGTTCCTTATAAGTAGTTTATACTGAAACCAAGAAATTCATGAACCCGTTTTAATTTTAAATTTAAGTTCATAAGTTATGTATTATGAACGGCTTTTACATTTATTATACATTACTAAATGCCTAGTTAAATTATGTGTTTAAAATGTTCAATACTAATTAATTTACTGTGTATAGTGGATGTGATTAGATATAAAAAGAAATATAGTGCTTTTTGGTATTATGGAAGGGGGGGGGGGAGGGGCAAATTCTGACTTTTATTAAAAAATTGATCCATTCTCCTTTCTAGAACAAAATCATAACGACGACACAGAGTCCAACATGTCACAGTAAATAATCCACTAACAAATAAATGCATTTACACCAGTTCACGGTAAAATGGCATAATATATTAAACAATTATAACAATTTGCGATCACTAGAGTCCAAAAACCTACTTTTATCTTGATACCGTATGGTCGCATCGCAGTCAACATATTAAAAGTCATTTAAAATATACATTTTTACACCAAAATGAGTTGTTTTTTTTTTAAATAGAGTTGTGAAGCATTTCACAACTCTTATACTTATAACAGTTATAACATTATCATACCAATTATGAGATCAATAACTAAAGGAATATTCTACTGTACAGAATATAGAAGATAATTTATTGCATGACAAAATTCCATATCAAGAAAATCTATTCTACATAATGTCAATATTAAAGATAAATATATATTTACAAAGCCGTCGCAGTAAATTTCTGTTTCAATTTTTGATTACATCAAATATTAATATTATCAGATTATTCTCATGTTATTATATTTATACCTAACAATTGTTCTTCATTGATGATAGTTATACTATTAAAACATGATCAGGACATAAAAATACAATCTATAGTCTGTAATCGTTTATAATAAATAACTTAAAGCAATCAATTGTTTGATAACATAAGCAATTATAGATATATGAATTAAATATAAAATATATTTAATTATTGATTCAATAGAAGAAATATATTTTTATGAAATTTACCTGGTGCCACCATTATCTCATGTTTTTTAGTACGCATTCTCAAGAACATCAAATCGTTGGATGGATCCAAATCTCTCACGACACTCCTAGCCTTATCAGCTAACTGCTGTATCAATCCAGCATATTGAACCGAAGTTGAATTGTCTAAAGTCGATTTAATAGGAATGCCTAAAAAAATGATGTTACTTATTTAACGTTCAAAGAAATATATGTAATATATTACAAGTATTATACTAATACTAATGATAGGCGTAGAACCTGTTAAAGAATACTAACCTTCGTTATTTACTACAATTGTACCGATGACACCACGATGAGATTGAATGCGTTTCAAAGTATCTTCGACTTCGCTAGCCATTTTTATTTCTGAAAAAAACCCGTTCGTAATTGATTAAAATACGAAAACTCGCAAATAGTTAGCAGTTTAAACTTTAGACTAGAATAATATCAACAACTGCGAATTAATTATTTTTCTAAAGTAATAAATAAAAACGTAGTATTCGTCACGTACAGAATAGGTATTCCAATGTGTATACTATGATGTAATAGAATAACGGAACGCCAAAACGCCGAGTTAAAATGTATAGGTAATACTCTTGAAATATGTTTTATTTATAAAGGGAGTTTTTACTAAGTTTGTCGAAAATAATTAGTGATAAACAACAGAGGCTCGAAAACTGATAAGATTAATATTCTGTACAACACTATCGTAATCGTCACAGATGATTTGATAATATAGGCTACGGGCAATTTTAGTTACTTCAAATTTTAAGAAAAATGTCAAATTTCAAAAGAACAGCTGTAGTTGTACTTAAAGTCTATACAAGGCGTTTACAATGGATGCGTTCATGATTCATTCTTTACTTCTACTCCATACGCTGGCCTCGCTTTGGACAGTTCAAGCCGGTCTGTCTCTAGACGAACCTTAATATTGGTTGAGCTTAACGATAATGACTGTTATCACAAGCAGTTTTTATCGTTAATTTTTATCTTTTAAAATTTATTTTAAAATTGTAAAATGTACAAGACGCTTGTTATACTGGATTTGCCAATAATTGTAAATTCGATATATCATATGATCCTCCTCACCGGAGGAAAGTGCCGATGATAGCCATATTTTAGAGCTAGCTGTTCATATGCTATGATGAGTACGTATGCTATGTAATAGTTTTGGTGACTGACAGATAAGTACCTTGTATGAAAATTATATTGATGACAATATTATACCTTCAACAGTTATAGTTCGAAATTCAAATCACGCTTTAGGTAAAAATTGTATTCAACATGTCCTGTTTTTTCAATAATATTCAACATATATAAGGAAGTAAAATTGATTATCGGTAATTGTCGGTTTTTCAATGTTTGATTAAAGCTTAATGGATAAATAAACTTTTTAAATTGAACATTTTTTACAAATTTAATTTACAATAAACAGCTTTTTTTTCTTTAGTAAAATTTTAATAGGCAGTGATGATTTTTGGTTTTTATAAATACCGAGACTGCATAAGATTTTCTATAATTGAGTGTAAAGTTCAGTTGATGTTATCATTTTTCTAATAATGTTTTTGTTCTACCAATTCACATTGTTGAATAGGTCGTTTTAGACAGTTCACTGATAACTATACATGTAAGGCCAGTGCAGATAGATCTTACCTTTTAACTATTAGGTACAATAAATTTAGTGGAAAAATATAATTTAAATGGTTTATAAGCACATAATAAATTTAGTTATGATCCGTATACTGGACACTCATGCAATCATAAAAATCCTTCGTATACAAAACATTTCATTAAAGCATTTTGTTATTTCATGCGTAGACTACTAATTTGTTATTTTACCAAAAAATTATTATAGATAAATGATGAATTATATTTATCAAACATACTTTTTTTATTTTTATTTTTTAAACGTAATACACAATCTGTATCGATTGACACAATAAGCATATATGTTGAGAGTTACAAAGTTTGACATGGAAATTTGATGAAAGAAGCCACCCATCGATGGCACTTTCTATGGATTTTATTTTTTTTTTAGCTTATCTTAAGAGATCACGACACCACTTACGCTTCAGGCGTCTAGGGGGATTACCAGGTATGGAAGGAGTAGATAAGTTTTTTATGAGTTCGTTAGGGTGGTTAATTAGTTTGGAATAGAATCTTTTATAATACATTTTGACATCAAACATACTAGTTACAAATAATAGTAAAAGAGTCTAAGAGCTAATGAAAAGAACAAATCATAAGTATTAAATGATGTTGTTCTGTAGTACTGGAGTAATTTAAAGCCAATTCATTTTATTTTCAACAAATCACCGAATCTGGACTTTTTCCCTGGATGTCAAGAAAAAATTATTGGTCGCTCCCATTCATAGAGACAGGTAGAGACATTATGTTATCAATAAGAAGCCCATTTCTAAAATAATTATTATTCCTCAAATATCTGAAGCTATCTTAATTATAAAATTATTAAAACTATCTACAATAATTTCCCCTCTGATTTATAAAAACCCAACATGCGGTGGGACCAAAAATTCCAATTAATATTTTACTTCAAAGAATGGTCATTTATTATACATATATTCAATTTACAACATGAATCATATCCAGCATATTAATAAGTAACCAAAGAGAACACTCAAAATTAAATATGTTCCAATATATCGACAACTATTGATATTTCACTGTCCTAAAACTTTACTAACTTATTCACTATTCAGTATGTCATATTGTTTCTATACATTTGTATTAAAATATTACTTCAAACATATACTGTTTGCAACACACATAAAACAAAACAGATATTCACAGATTATTATTTAACCTTTTTATTATGTACAAAATATATAAGTTAATATTCTGTCATTCACTTATTAGATTTAATTTACTTACCTTCATAGTAATGTCCAAAACTCATTATAAACATTTTTAGAATATTTTGATTTCCATATTTTGTACGCAAATTAGACCATGAAAGTACTATTAATCTTAATTTAATTAAATATGAAATAGTATGTTTT